TGGCCCGTCGCGCCTGTGACGGCCCGTCGCGCCTATGACGGTCCGTCCTGCTGCCCGTCACAGAGTTTAGAGACTCAATTTCTCTGAAGAGCCTGTGACGGTCCGTCACACCTGTGACGGTCCGTCCTGCCATTCCGTCACAAAGTTCAGAGAGTCGATTTTCAGTACCCAATTTCAGATTTTCTAAGTGTTTTGAAACGAGACCCTGCGACGGTCCGTCGTGCCCATGACGGTCCGTCGTGGGGTCCGTCGCCTCAGCCTGTTTTTCCAGAAATAAAATCTGCTGCTCAAAACGACTAAACAGGTCGTTACAGATAATAATAAAAATAATAATTTAAATAATAATAATTATTATTTTAATAATAATAATTATGATAATAATAATAATAATAATAATAATAATAATAATAGAAATAATAATAATAATAATATTAATAATAATAAATATAATATTAATAATAATAGTAATAATAATAACTATGATAATAATGATGATATTAATAATGATAATAATAATAATAATATTAATACTAAAAATAATAATAATAATAATAATAATAATAATTATGATGATAATATTAATGATAATAGTGATGATAATAATAATGATAGTAATAATAATAATAATAATAATAATAATAATATTAATAATAATAATAATAACAATAATAATAATATTGATGATAATAATTATAATGATAATTATAATAATAATGATAATAATAATGATGATGATGATGATAACAATAATAATAATGATAATATAATAATAATAATAATAATAATAGTTATAATAATTATAATAATAATAATAATAATAATAATAATAATAATAATAATAATAATGATATTAATAATGATTATAAAAATAATAATAATAATGATAATAATAATAATAATAATAATGAGAATAATAATGATAATAATAATGATGATAATAATGATAATAATAGTGATAATAATAATAATAATAAAATAATAATAATAATAAAATAAAATAAAACTTCTTCTCTCCCAAAATGCTCTCAGCGTAGGTTAGATAACCTGCGCAGTGAAGGTGAAAATGGCGAGGGGAAGAGGACGAGTACGAGGAAGAGGCCAAAAAATGTCAATAATGACAGTTGGTAGCTCAGTTGGAGCTCGGGTGGAAGCATTAGAGGCAAACAAATAGCAACAAGCTCAAAATGAAGAACAGAACTATGAAGAAGGAGTGACTGAGAGTTCCAAAATAACTAGGCGATTGAGCTTAAATCCTGTTTTGGAAGAAGAGGAAGCTTATGAGAGCTCAGATCTAGTGCAAATAGAAGATGAGAACAAGATGGAAAGCAATGGAACAGTAACTAAGAAGCTGGATGGAAACACTGCAGATGATGAGAGTAATGGAATAAGAGGAGCAGAATTGAGAAAGGATAAGGAACCCTGGGTTAATATGTTTAAGAACAACCGTGCAGCTAACAATGGTATGCAGCTGGCATATTTCCCACCACAAATAGTTAATGGAGAAGCAATGGTTCAGCTGGAAGGGAAAGAAGTTCAGGATGAAGAAGCCAAGTGGAAGTGTGCACTCATAGCTTACGTAGTAGGTGAGTGTCCTGGGTATAATGCCATGAACAGATATATAATGATGAACTCGTCCAAAGCAGGTAAACCAGAAGTGTTTTTACATGAAGAAGGGTATTATATAATTAAGTTTCAGAGCCTGGATGATATGAATGAGATTCTATTCTCAAGGCCATACACTATAAGTAATAGACCTATCATTTTGAAGCAATGGTGCCCAGAATTTGATTTTGGAAAGGAATTCTTAGCTGAAATACCCATGTGGGTTAATTTTCCAAGGTTACCTCTTAATTGTTGGGGTGTAGGATCACTGAGTAGAATAGCAAGTGCTACAGGTGTGCCTTTATTTGCTGATGAGTGTACTACAAAGCAAACAAGAATTTCTTATGCTAGAATGCTTATAGAAGTTAATGTTACTAAAGCTATTCCTCAGTAGATTACAGTTGTAGATCAAAATGGAAGAACATTCTTACAGGAAGTTGTGTTGGAGTGGAAGCCCCAGTATTGTGACTAATGCCAAAAGATTGGACATCAATGTCAATCTGTAACACAGGAGGAGATGCCGAAGAAGAAAAAGCCTTGCAAGAAAGTCACACAAACATGGCAGTATAAAGGGACAATTCAACAACAGGAGAAGAATGATGAACACATGGAGAGGCCAGTAATAGATGGAAATAATGCATAGAAGGAGAATCAAGAGATAGAGAATAAAGAAGAGCAGGAACTTAAGCAAACACCTAAGCTCAATCTGAGGCCTCATACTGGAAGCAAGCATCTGGAGTTCAGCCTATCAAATTTTCCTATGCTTTCAGCTATACCAGTTAGAAATGGATTTGAGAGTTTAAGGAATAGTAAACTAGCTTCACTGCATGTTGATAGAGGTGGAGATCTAAAGACTTGCTAATGAAGTGGAGTGTTTGGAATGTGAGGGGTATGAATAAAAGGTATAAGCAGAAGGAGATTAGGCTGCTTCTACAACAAAATAAGACTTCTTTAGCAGGGTTAATTGAAACAAGAGTTAAAGAGACTAATAGCAAAGCTACTTTAAAAGCAATAGCTCCAGGATGGAAGATCATACACAACTATAAGGAGGCTGCAAATGGTAGAATATGGATAGTATGGGATGACAGCTGGTATGGTATCAAGTTAATAAAAAGTTCAGCTCAGATGGTTCATTGTCAAATAAATGAAAGAAGCAAAGGTTATCGTTTGAATATCACAGTGGTTTATGGATTCAATACCTTAGAAATGAGGAAAAGCTTATGGAATGAATTGAAGATGGTAGCTCACAGTGTTTCTGAGCCTTGGCTCATAATAAGAGACTTTAATGCTATTTTATCTCCTCAAGATAGATTAGTTGGAGCTCCTATTACTTTGAATGAGATCAAGGATTTTGAAGAATGTGTTAAGGATATGGGAATTACTGAAGTACAATGGAAAGGAAATTATTGTCTTGGACAAATAAACAGGTTGGTAATGCCAGAATTGCTAGCAGAATTGATAGAGCCTTTTGGAATGATTGTTGGATGGATAAATGGGGTCATGCTATTATAGAATATGGGAACCCAGGGGTGTCTGATCATAGCCCTATGCACTTTCTACTTTATCAGAATTATCATCAGATCAGAGTGAGTTTTAAGTTCTTCAATGTTTGGATTGAACATGAATCCTTTATGGAAATGGTGGATACAATCTGGAAGCAGGAATATGGAAGTGAAGTAATGAAAGGAATATGGTATAAGTTGAAGGCACTCCAGCCAGTCTTGAGGCAATTGAATAAGAGAGAGTTTCAATACATAGGCCAAAAGATTGAGAAGACAAGAAGTGAACTTGAAGATCTTCAAGAGAAGCTTTATAACCAAGCACAAGATGAGCTAGTTATTAAAGAAAAGGAGTTACTAATAAAGCTGGAGAAGTGGTCAATGATACAAGAAAATGCTTTAAGGCAAAAGGAAAGAGCTAGATGGATCACATTGGGAGATGCAAATAATAAGTACTTTAGTTCAGTGATAAAGGAAAGAAATCAAAAGAAGAATTTTAGAAGTATACTATCACTAGATGGAAAGATGTTATATGAACCCCAAGAGATTCAAGAGGAGTTTGTTAAGTTCTATAAAAGTCTTATGGGGTCTTCAGCAGGTAAACTTCCAGCTATAAATGCTCAGATGATGAAGAGAGGCCCTGTGTTATCAAGGCAGCAAAGAATTCAATTGTGTACAGATGTAGCAGAACATGAGATCTATACAACATTGCAGTCTATTGGGAATGATAAGGCACCAGGGGTAGATGGTTATAATGCATTATTCTTTAAACATTCCTGGAAGATAGTTAAGATGTTATTGCAGCTGTCAAAAACTTCTTCTCAACAAGGAAGATATTTAAGCCTTTCAACTTTACTCTTGTGTCTTTAATCCCAAAGGTTCAAAGTCCTAAAAATGTGAAAGAGTATAGACCAATTGCTTGTTGTACTGTGATCTATAAAATCATTTCAAAGGTGATAAGAAGAAGAATGCATGATGTGATGCCTGATATTATATGTGAGAGTTAGGCTTGATTTATACCAGGGAGGAAGATTGCAGATAACATTATACTGGCTCATGAGTTGGCCAAGACTTATACTAGGAAGAATATTTCTCCTAGAAGCATGCTTAAGATAGATCTACAGAAAGCCTATAATTCAGTTGAGTGGTCTTTTTTAGAACATGTAATGGAAGGATTGGGATTCCCAGAGATGTTTATTCAGTGGGCGATACACTGTGTGAAAACAGTGAATTATACTATTGTTGTTAATGGACAAACTACTCAAAGGTTTGATGCAGCAAAAGGCTAAGACAAGGAGATACTATGTCACCATTTTTGTTTGCTATAGCAATGAAATACCTAAGTAGGCTGCCCAAAGGACTTAAAGAAGAGAAAGCTTTTAAATATCATCCTAAACGCTCCAAATTGGCCATTACTCATTTATGTTTTGCAGATGATCTTCTTCTATTTTCAAGAGGAGATTTGGAGTCCATCAAGATGCTGCAAAGATGCTTTTCAGTGTTCTCTCAAGCCTCAGGATTGCAGGCAAATCTCACAAAAAGTTCTATATACTGTGGGTGAGTTCAAATGGAGATAAAGCAACAAATTATGCAACAACTTGGTTATACAATGGAGGAACTACCTTTCAAATACTTGGGGGTGCCTTTTCAACAAAGAAGCTGACCATAATACAGTGGTATCCCCTCATAGAAAAGATCATGGCAAGAATCAAATCATGGACAGCAAAAAAATGTCCTTTGCTGGAAGAACTCAACTAATTAAGACTGTCCTGTTTGGAGTACAGTCTTACTGGGCTCAACTATTTATCATTCCTGCAAATATAATAAAAGTGATTGAAGGACTATGCAGAAGCTACTTATGGTAAGGGGTAGAATATGTTACAAAAAAGGCATTGATAGCATGGGAGAAAGTGTGTTGTCCTATAAGTGAAGGAGGCATAGGACTGATCAATATGAAAGTGTGGAATATAGCTGCAATTGCTAAACTGTGTTGGGATCTAGCTAAAAAGGAAGATAAACTTTAGATTAAATGGATACACACATATTATATAAAAGGGCAAAGAGAATGGCAGAGGAGGAAACATGCAGCTGGATGATACAAAAAGTTATGAATGCTAAGCAAAGTGTGGAACAAGTTCAGCAATTGCAAAAGAAGAATAAAGGGGTGATCAGGCAACTTTATAGTCACATGAAGGGAGAACAACAAAGGCCAATATGGACATGTCTTATGTTCAACAATGCTGTAAGACAAAAGGCTTACTTCACAATGTGGATCATGATGAATCAAAGGCTAGTAACAGTGGACAAACGGGCTCAGTGGGTAGTTGACGTAGAGAAGACATGTGTGTTATGCAAGAATGATGATAAAAATGTAGAACATTTATTTATACAGTGTAACTTTGCTAGGAGAATATGGGGGAGACTGCTAAGCTGGATAGAGAAACAAACTAATGTTCCAATGACATGGGAGCAATTTATAAAGTGGTGCATACTTCATGGTAAAGGGAAGAGATCAGCTGCACAAATGTTCAAGATTATACTGGCTGAAGGCATCTATGGACTGTGGATGGAGAGAAATAGTCGAATTTTTGAACACAAGAGTAGAAATGAGGATCAACTTGTTAAAGAGATAACCTATATAACTATTGCTAGAACTCCTTCTAGAGTGAAGGATAATGTAAGTCATTTGACATTTAAGTAATAGTTAGTAGTGTAGGTGTAGTTGTTCAGTCTCTTTGAGTTTAAAGCATGATGTGATAGTTGCTTGGTTTGTATGGACTGTTCTTTGTAATTAATAAAATGTAGTTACCAAAATAATAATAATAATAATAATAATAATAATTATAATAATAATGATAATAATAGTGATAATAACAATAATAATAATAATAATAAT